GAACTTTTGACGAGTTAATGCAACGAAAGGGACACTTCGCTGATTTGATTAATCAGTATTCGGCCAACAGTTTGAACAAAGAGGAAGAGGACGACAGTGTCGTGAAGAAGAAGTCGGGAACCGTTAAAGAGGCGAAAGTAGAGAAATCAAAACTGGTTGAGGCGGAGAAGGCAGAGACCGGACGAGTCAAGTATTCCGTGTATTTCCGATACTTTAAGGCTATTTCACTGTTTTGGTGTATAATTGTGTTCGTAAACTATGCGCTGATGCAGACATCAGTGGCCGGAACCAGTCTATGGTTAGCCGAATGGTCCGATTCGGTCGAACGGGGCGAGAGAGACAGCACAGCTTATTATCTCTCCATTTATGGTATTATTTGCCCAACAATTTGATCCATTGATTAGTTTGTGTCTTACTTTTGTACCTCGTTTTATAGGAGTGTTGGGCATAATTCAGACGGTGTTCGTAACGTATGGCTGGTATGCGATGACTCGGGGCTCAATCAAAGCGGCCACGTATTTGCACTTCAAAATGTTGGAACAGATAATGCACTCTCCGATGTCATTCTTCGACACCACACCATTGGGACGGATACTCAACAGATTCAGCAAAGATGTCGACACCTGTGACTCCACTCTTCAGCAAACCATACGGTATGTCAGACACACTATAATGAAAACGTGGTTAAAACTTATAATTTTTGAATACAGAGTTGTGCTCACCTGTGGTTTCACAACACTTTCCACATTAGTTATTATATCTATGCGTAAGTGAATTATCATTTCAATTAGATTAAATTTATTACAGTTTTAATCTAAACATTTTTTATCATACATTTTATTCTCATATTTTTTGAATAATTTCTATAGAAATTCCCATATTTTTGGCGATCATCGTTCCGGTGGCCATCATTTTCTATTTAATACAGGTTTGCATCCAATTATTATCACATAAAATAGTATTGAAACTTACAGTACATAACATTAATTTACAGAAATTTTATATAACAACCTCTCGGCAACTGAAACGACTGGAATCGATCACAAAATCGCCAATTTATGCCCATTTCAGTGAAACCCTGTCTGGTGTGGCCACTATTCGCGCCTGTAATGCACATACAATTCACAGTTATTATAGTTAAATATAATTTTTAATTAATTGTAATTTATATTCACAATCAGATGGTGTGAGCGAACAGTTTGTGAAAGAGTCGGACGATAGGCTGGATCTGAATAACGCCTGTTTCTACCCCAACGTCGCGGCCAACCGATGGCTATCCATACGACTAGAATATGTCGCGAACTTTATTATATTGTTTTCGGCTCTCTTTGCGGTCCTTCAGAGGGACTCATTGGGCGCGAGTCAGGTCGGCCTCATTGTGTCGTACGCTCTGAGCACAACCCAAAACCTAAACTGGTTGGTGAGGGTTATATCCGATTTGGAGACCAAGTACAGTACAATTCACTTTTTACCATGGTCATTTTGTGCCAACTTTTAACAGTACTTATATCATATTCTTCTATTCACAGTATTGTAGGCGTTGAGCGTATCCTAGAGTACACTGACTTGAATACTGAGGCTGAATGGCATTTGGAGGCGACAGCGCCTCAGCCCGGATGGCCTATCGATGGGAATATTGATTTTCAAACGTATTCAACCAAATATAGAGAAGGACTCGATTTAGTTCTCAAACAGATCTCCATTAAGATTAGCGCCGGAGAGAAGGCATATAACTATTCCAATAATTATAAAACTTTTGTAAAATTAATTTCCTATTATAACCACTTATAGGTAGGAATAGTCGGCCGAACGGGTGCCGGAAAATCATCGCTAACTTTAGCCCTCTTCAGACTCATTGAGTCGACTGAAGGCAAGATTATCATCGATGGCGTCAGCATTAGTGACATTGGTTTACATCAGTTACGGTCCAGACTTACGATTATACCTCAGGACCCGATACTCTTCAGCGGAACCATTCGCACAAATTTGGATCCCTTTTCAAGATTATCATCGATGGCGTCAGCATTAGTGACATTGGTTTACATCAGTTGCGGTCCAGACTTACGATTATACCTCAGGACCCGATACTCTTCAGCGGAACCATTCGCACAAATTTGGATCCCTTTAAGAGCTATTCAGACGACCAGATATGGCGAGTGTTAGAGTTGTCTCACTTGAAAGCATTTGTCTCGGGTCTGGACTCAGGGCTCGAGCATAAGGTGTCCGAAGGCGGAGAGAACCTGTCGGTCGGCCAAAGACAGCTCATATGTCTGGCCAGAGCTCTGTTGAGGAACACAAAAGTGTTGATCTTAGACGAGGCGACGGCTGCCGTCGATCTCGAGACCGATTCACTCATTCAGACCACTATAAGGCAGGCCTTCGCCGACTGCACTGTACTTACGATCGCTCATCGATTGAACACAATTCTCGACTCAAACCGAGTCCTCGTATTGAATGGTAAGTGAAATGAAGTTATTTTGGTTTATATTGTAATGCATTTAACCATTGGTTGTGTCCATCAGACGGAAGAATAGCTGAATTCGATTCACCAGAAAATCTCTTATCAGACGAGAAGTCAATCTTCTATTCCCTCGCAAAAGACGCCGGAATTAAAAGTTAACAAATTATTACAATTTTATGTATTTATTAATTATGTGTTTAATAAATGTCATTACAATTCACATTAAAAATATTATCATACTTAGAGTGAAGCACAGGTCTATCCAATCAAATACTTTTATGTATTATTACTTAAATTAGTGTACGATTTGTTAAATTTTATTAAAGTGTTTTTATTTGTAGTGTTAGTGGTATTAGTGTTAGTAGTGTTAGTGGTGTTAGTGTTAGTAATGTTAGTATTGTTAGTGAACCCCCGGGAGGCGATGATGTGCCCCCCGGCCCGCCCGCCCCCTTTTTGATGTGGTGGTGGACTCCACCCCTTCTCAGCTTATTTAGAGTCGTTAGAGGCGCTCGACTGTCGACCACAAGTGTTGTGGGGTTAGGCTATCCCTTCTCAGATTGTTTTGAGTCGTTAGAGGCGCTCGACTACTGGCCAGTGGTGTTGTGTCCGGCCATCCCATCTCTCAGATTGTTTAGAGTCGTTTGAGGCGCTCGACTGTCGACCACAGGTGTTGTGGGGTTAGGCTATCCCTTCTCAGGTTGTTTACCGTCGTTAGAGGCGCTCGACTACTGGCCAGAGGTGTTGTGTCCGGCCATCCCTTCTCTCAGATTGTTTTGAGTCGTTAGAGGCGCTCGACTACCGGTTCCCACCATTTGGTTGACATTTCATTGATCCGTCCGTTCGGACGCCAGAACTGCGTTATCCCTCTATCTATGTCCTGAGATGTAGTGTTCGTGAACTCAATCCCAGTCTATGTGTGGAACCAATGGATGCGCTCGACTACCAGTCTTTCCAATTCTGATCCCAATTGATAGCCATTGAGTAACTGTTCCCAAAATGTGCGCTCATTTCTTGTGTTGTGTGACATTCGCTCAAATGGTAGTCGAGATCAAAGTATTGAGGTCTCAGTTCCCGTGACTTTCCATTTGATAGCAAACCATAGGCGCAGACCTATTAGAAGTCCGGGCCATCCCTTGGGTGTAGGGATTGTGATCACTCGCCACTTGACCGCAGCCATCCATATGTGTCTGTTTGCTATACATTTGGATTTCCACTAATGGCTTGACTTCTGGTCAATCACCAGTTGTAGGTCCGGACCTGTTGGAGATCCGGGTCAGCCCAGGCGTGTAGGGCTTGTGGCCAATCGGCAGTTGTATGCCCGGACCTGTTTGAGGCTCGGGACAGCTCTTTGTGTAGTTCTTGTGGCCAATTGTCAGTTGTAGCCCGAGTTGTCTCTTCGTTGTGTGTCTAGAAGTGTAGGACTTGTGACCGAACATCCGTTTAGACCCGAACTCTTGTGTTGTGTCTGCTGTGAAATGCGGGACATCTCTGGTCTCTAAGGATGTGGGCATTCATCACAACACATGGTATCGACTCCTCATCTCTTGTTAACAAATCTATTGCTTCTTTGCTTTCAATTTTGCCGTTTCTGTCAATCGCTTACTTTTATGTTAAAAATATGAAAATTTCAAAATAATTTATTTTTAAATAAACATTTTTAAAACAACAAATTATTGTTTTGAAAACAACAATGAATTGAATATAAAGTACTTTAAACTACTTTATTGTAGTAAAGGGTTGAGAAGAGGAGTGACTCTCACCGGCGCTTAAGAGAGAAAGAGTTGAATCCATTGGCGCTCAAGAGATTCGACGACACGAACGATAGGATCAGTCGTTGGAAGCGATGAATCAGATTATAACGAAAGTGTCGATCAATGAGTTCGTGAGGATTAGCGACAGGAATAAGATTTTCGGCGGAATCGGAACAATAGACGGAAGCGTTTGGATTGTATATAACAATCGCAAAGTGTTTAAGCGGCCGATCATTGGCCGCGACAACGATGTCATCATTCCTCAGCCAATAGCGGCTGTGACACAACTCAATAGGGGTCCGACCGGCGCTCACGACCTCATCATAACGGGTTCGGCGACTCTTTGTCTCCTCTATTGTCACCAAACGGTGTGTACTTTGAATGGCGGCGAACGAGTGGCCAGTCTTTGCGGTCGCACTTATGTCATGAAAACAGATATCGTTTGCGATTTGGATAACGACTCGGGAGACGACGACTCACTTGAATATGAGCTGAAGACTGGCGAATACTTGCGTATCATTTCGGGTACCGTTAGAGTGAAAGTGTCGGCCGCCGGACACCGAGTCTTTGTCGGCACTCAATCCGAACAGACCGTCAAATATGAAATTTTGTTCGCTAGGAGTGGACTGCTTGCTATCGGATACGTATCTGCCAATCAATAAATGTATTGTTTTAGTTAGCAATCAAAGTAAAGTTTTGTTAAGTCTAAAGAATCCAAGAAGTGTTTGTTCATTAAATTGAGACAAACTATCAATTTTTTTGTATTCCAGTGCTAACCCAGTGCTAACTTTTAACGTTTCATTCAATTCTGTATGTAATGAGCACTCAATGAATTGAAAGTCATTTTCAAACCACAGAATCTAATATTATTTGTCAATCATTGCGTTAAACAGTGAATGTATTGTTTAAATACATTTCAGTGTATGTTATAAAGTAAAACTTTACAAGTAAAACTTATAAGACTTAAGCGTTTTATTCAAAAATTATTTATAATTGAATTAATTAATTAGTTTATTGTAATCACAATTCAGTCAATAAATTGGATGTCATTTCCAAATCACAAAATGTATTATTCAATCAAATTCTTTACTTTTGCGGCAATAAGTGAATGAATTGTTTGAATACACTTACGGTTTAACCAGTTTTAACATCTCTAAGACATGTTTGAAAATTTTAATTAATTATTTTAATTGTTATTAGAAACAAAAAGTTATAACAAGTTGTCGGCCGACAGAACAACAAAGGATTGTCTTAAAAGACATTTAAACCCAAAAAGTAATAGATTTACGACATAAAAGGCACACAAAACTCATTGAATGGACAGCTCTTCGGCCGCTATATTAAATAAATTGCGGGAATTCTGCGGACAGTATTTCAACGCCGAGATGACAAGTGTGAACCGACGGGCGATTAGCCACCAATTGAACCGATACGTGGCGGCCGTCACACCCACTCTCTGTCAACGGGTCTGCGATCGGTTGAGCGCCGAGCCGTCGCTCGTGTCGGTCGGGACGCCGTGTTATCTCTTTGGCGACATTCACGGCAACGTCAAAGACCTGTATGATATCGAGTGCTCCTTTTGGATGAACAGTGGCGTGAATGCTCTGCAAAGCGCGCGCTATGTATTTCTCGGCGATTACGTGGACAGAGGCGACCATTCGGTCGAAGTGGCCGTCTATTTGCTGGCCTTACGCGACGCCGAACCCCATCGGTTCACACTCTTGAGGGGCAACCATGAGGTGAGGCTTTTGAACCGATCGTTCACTTTCTGGACGGAGTGTAACAAGAAGTTCGGGGCAATGGGTGAACGCATTTGGGATCAGATCAACCGGTGCTTCGATCGCCTGCCACTCGTAGCCATCGTTGGCCAGAGTGTGTTCTGCTGTCACGGCGGACCCCCGCGATCGGCCACCACTTTGGCGGAGTTGTCGCGTATTCCGAAGCCGTTGATCAGTCCCGAAGAAGTGCCGTCCGCTCAGGAGATCCTGTGGAACGATCCGATTGAGTCGATGCCCAGCTATTTGGCCGAACGAACCGAAGAGACAATGCGAGCGAATGGCCAGCGATGGGCTGTGAATCGGATCCGCGGCACCGGTTTCTACTACACGGCCGCAGCCGTACAGGAGTTCCTCGACGCCAATGGTCTGCGATATCTGGTGAGAGCCCACGAGTGCGTCGACACCGGCTATAGAGTGACGTCCGGCGGACGAGTGGTGACAGTCTTCTCGGCCTTCAATTATGGCGGCAGAAGTAATGCCACGGCTTGTGTTGAAGTGACCACTGATGGCAATATCCGTCCCATTATACTGAAGAATCGTTTGGGAATCATTCGCCGCCGTTCGCAGACGGGCTGACAATCGCCCGATCGGTTCCAGTCATTCACTAAAGTCAGGCCTCCTTTTATTTGTATCTCATTTTGTGTGCATTTCTTTCTCTTTGGCCGACAAAACCATTCAACAGATCACTAGAAATGTATGCATTGTTTCCCACATTTAGTGGACAACAAAATGCTTGAAATCATACATATTGTAGTGATTTGTTGTTTCGGTGAATAAAATTTGTGTCAATACTCATTGGATTTGTTATAAAACTAATAATTAGTTTAACTTTTTTGCGATTAAACGGCAAATTAATTGTAAGTCATGTTTAAAAAGTAGAATTATATAAGTTTATCGTAATGAGTGTTAACTACCATTAAAATCCTCAACTAAAACACGTGTAAAGAAATTATTGCATTTAAATAATTTATTTTTTATAAAAATAACTGTTAGTAAAATCAGAGAAATGTGGCCGAAGACTGGCCATAACTTGCGTATTATTTGTGTTGCGGCCTCATTACGGGGTTTATCTGTATTTATAAATTATAACTTATTATAATTTAAGAAATCCAATGATTGGCTTGTTTTGTGAATAAATTATATAAACCATTAACCATCCATTTATATGGTTAAATTGCCCACGTCTATTATATCGTGGTACAAAATATCGTCCAGTGATTTAATGCATTTAATTGACATGAGTTAGAGGGCAGCATAAGTAAGAAAGCTATGCTA